AGGTTATGACATCTCTGGTTTTGATTTTTAAGTGCCAAATGCTGATTTCTTTGTGGCTCAGTTTTCAGTTGTTTATAGTTTTGCCGAACGTGGACTTTTTGAGTTGAAATTTCCTATGTTACCTTTTGCTATAGTAAATTTTCTGAGAAGCCTTTGAGCTGTGTCAGGCCAGTGGCACTTGCAGGGCAACAGTGGTGATTTCCTGCCTTCAGAAGAGCTTGTGATGAAAGAGAAGCAGTTCAAATACATCGGGAAGGGCAAACACTGCTCTAATTGCAGCAAGCAGGGAAAGCCTGCTGTGCTCACCCTGGACCTGAGACGGGCCCTTGGTGCCTACTGATGGATGCAGAATTAGGCTACAAAGCCCAGAAACTTCCAGGAGTCTGTGTGACATTTCTCTGAGTAACAAATGAGTATGTTGCTGGCAATGAAATGCAAATGAATGAAGCACTTCAGTCAAAAACCTAGAGGCAGTGTTTACCTGAGGAAATTCACTGCCAGGTAGGAGTGAGTTTTGGTTATGTTTTTGTTGGTGCTGACTCATACACATTCTGAAGCATATGCTCCTACCCTGAGGATGAGGAGGGGGTGGCTTGCTTGATTCTTTCCAGGTTGATTATAGTTTCTCTGAGAATGGGAAAAACGAATCTCCCCATAAATCTTGGTAAAATCCAGGAGGTAGCAAATAAAACCATCAACACGCTTCTCTCTTGCTGAATCCATTGGCAAAAGCTTTGTAGACCTGAGCAATGGGAGCACCTTCATCAGTGACATGAGGTCACCCTCTGCTCGCTGAAAAAGGGGCTGCTGTGGGTTTTGTGGTGCTGCCAGGCAGAGAGGGAAACCCACCTCCTGAATGGGGGGGGCTGGTCAGGCCAGTCAGGTGCTTCTGGCTGAAAATATGATCTAATATCACAGTGCCTCACATTACCTTCATGGGAAATCCTAACATGAGAAAAAAGCCACACATTTTGCTTCTCAGGAGAAGCAAAACCTTGAACTCTGGAATGCAAAGTGTGGTTAAATTAAGACCAAAACATTTTGCATCACTCGAATTTTCTGTTTAGGGTTTGATTTCTTACTTTTGTATTCAATTTTTAGTGTGTTGGACTGAAAAATTTCAGAGTACTTACTCTGATTGGTGATGGTGTGTTAATGTCCTGTTAATGAATCTGTATTTTAAGCAGTTCTTGAAAACTTGTATTTGGATTCCCAAGGGTTATCAGCCCCTAAATATATTTTTAATGGTGATGTCACAATAACTTCAGGAAGGGACATTGGAAAATTGAAAGATTAAATTTTCCATTGGAAATCAAAACGGTTTTAAGAGAAATAACTGAAAATCAAGATGCTAAACTTGCTCCTGATGTAAGTCCAGTCCAAAGGGAAACAGCTGCTGTGGTGCTGGAACTGAATGGCCTGTAAGGTGCTTCCACTTTGGGGTGAGTTGGCTTTGAGATTCAGCCTTTCACTAAACTCTGTGTTACTTAAACTCCTTCCTGCATGGATCGTGAACTAAGGAAAACGAGGTGGTCTGGAATCAAAGGTAGCGAGAAATTCCTAATATATGGCAGATGGACATGAAACAGTCCCTGTACTGTAAGAATGCAATCCCCTTCAAATGCATAATCTGTTTCTCGTGAAAGACATGTGGCCTGATATAGAAGTTTTAGGTCAACTGATTCTGTTGAAGATTAGCCTCGATATTCTGAAAAAGAAGACTGTAGTTACTTAGGGACTTTAATTCCTTATAAAGGATTATACTGGGCACCACACTACTGCCACAGTGTCAAATCTTTCTCTGGGTTTGCTAAATTAACCTTTGTAATAGAAAAGCTCTTTATGCGCTTCCAGTCAAAAGAAGAGACGGGTTTGAGTTTGTAGCAACTTAAAATGCCAATGATCGGGATCCTAATCTAAAATTCATAGGGGTTTTTTTTTCCATTTCTTCTTAAAGCATGTTTCTCTACTGTATTGCAAATGACTTGCAGAGAATTTTAGGAAGAATTTCTTCACAGAAAGGGCTGTCAGGCACTGGAATGGGCTACCCTGGGGGGTGGTGGAGTCACCATCCATGGAGGTGTTCAAGGAATGACTGGATGTGGTACTCAGTGCCCTCGTCTAGTTGACAGGGTGGTGATCAGTCAAAAGCTTGGACGTGATGATCCTGGAGTTCTGTTTCAACCCGATTCTGAGATTCTGTGATGTGCCCTGCTCTGATTTAACGTTGTGTGCAGGATTCTTAAAATGGAAACCTGCATAAGAGGGGCAGAAACAAGAGCAGGTCATGAGGGGGAAGATACTACAATTAAAGGTAAACTGATCATCATTTGTGAGATTATGTTTGGAAACATGAGTTTAATATATGTGATGTTAAATCTCACAGTCGTATGTAGTGAGAGGAAAGGTTTCAGTTTTAGGTAATGGTATATACATTACTACACATTTTCAGACAATGAGTGTGTTTTTTAGGTGGCACCTTCCTCATTTATGGCAGTACATGTTTTTATCCTCCCTGTTAAGTTTGTGCAATATTTACTGTCCTGATCTTGAAACTCATGGTGAGCTGACTACTACAGAACTCTGACAAGAACCCTTTCCCCTGGAAATATGGGTCAGAACAAGCCCATGCAATAGAAATTGTCGTGGTGAAGTTGGCATGAGATGTTCTGTCATGTTAAACAGCTTTGCAGGGCAGACAGGGAATAGAGACAGACACCTAACCCGTGCACTGTGTGTGGGACCTGGTGAAAGAAATCCTGTCCCAGTGGAAGCTCAAGACAAGGCACTTTGGCCAGCTTGTGACCAGTGTGAGAAACTTTCCCAACTACACATAACCTGTGTGCACGATGGGTGGGTGCATAATACAAATAATTGGAGGTACAGTCTAGTGTTTGAGTCCTTTACAGGTTTAATAATAGGCTTGGGAGGGAGCTGGTTCTCTGTAACGAGAGGGATAGAATGAAGGACTTTGTCTCTCTAGATCCTATTTATTAAATATTGTCATGCCTGAAAGGTCTGGCCTGTCCTTGCACTTGCCCTTCAGATGCTGATTTGGATGGTGACATTGGTGTGAAGGACAAGCCTGTTGGCCTTGCCAGGGTGCCATGAATTTCTCTCTTTGAAATAGCTGTTCCTTTTGATAGACTGTCCTTGCTTTTGTTCTTAGAACTTGTGCCATGAACAGGCAACATGAGTGCACTGCTATTTTCATACCCGTGCTACCTTGTAGCTTCCAAACAAGTTGTTTTCTTTGGGTCCAGGAGAGGATTTGCAGTGAAAAATTACTGGCCTGTTTAAAAAAAGGCACTCAAGAAAATGGCTATTTTGAGACATTTGGTCAGTTATTTTTTCTAAGACATTTGCCATGAAAACAGTAGGATCAGATATTTCTAGAGAGCTTCTGTGGCTCCTGTTTCCCCCCTGGGCTGGGGGATGCTCAAGGAAGGGGATTTGCTGTGGATTTGGGAGACCCTATGGCAGCATGACAATGTTTTTAGTGCAAAATTTGCTCTCTGTGGCATGGAAGGAGTACCAGCTCAGACTAGAGAAAAGAAGAATATTTGAAGAGAATGCTAAGTGGAGATGAAAGGAAAACAAATCACGGAGTTAGGAAGAAAGATAAACCAGAAGAAGATAATCCACCGTTCTTTTTTCTAGGAGCTTGCAGACAATGAAGTTGTTTGTTTGCTTTTTTTACAGCATTTCAATGTTCCAGCTACAACCTGTGCTAGAGATAATCAAAGGACTGGGATAGTTTACACGTGAAATATAAATTCTGCCTGCATATGCACCAGTGTGCAAAATGTATTGTCAAATCCTAACACTGCATGTAAATGGATTTTCCACCCTTCTGTTTCAGTTTTAATTTAACTACAGGAACATTTTCAGCATTGGAGGTTGTTTTTTGACACCTTACTTAACTCTTTTATTATTAAAAGTTTTCACTAAAAGCACTTGTAATTAAAATGAAGTAAGCAAGCAAAAAAAAAAAAAATAAAAGGGGAAGAGTTCCTGAAAAAATTAAATGCTGGTCAGGGCTCTCTCCACCCTCCCCACACAGTTCTTATGCCTTAACATGGGAATCATGCAGGGCAAGGTGGATGCAACTAGTCCAAATCTGGAATTCTCACTGGAGCCCAGTTTGCTTACACCTAGAGCAACAAGGAGTTTAGGCTTTAAATAAAGATTTGTTGACAAAGGTAATTCATTCAGGGATAAGTTGAAGGAGGTGTTATCCTAGAACATCTTTGCCTGAGGATGTAATTATCGTGGCATGACGTTCTGGAGTGGATTAATCTAAATGAGAAAAAAACTGCGTGTTCTTAATCCAGAGTAAGTATTTCCCTAGGAGTTGTTTTTACAGAGTTACTGTGGTCAGCCTCCCTGTCTAGACAAGCTTTTGGAGTTGTTAGGATAAGAGAGTCCTTGTGGTAAGATATTGAAACAGGTTTGTGTGTCTCCTTTTGCTGCATTTCTTGTCATACCTCTTTTAGTGGGGAATGAACAAAGGCAAAGGGCTTTGCCTTTGAGGTCTTGGCTGTTGCTTTCTCTAAGTTGTTGTTGTTTTGGTGAAGAATTTTGGTATTGAAGCTGCAGTGGTTGGAGGGCAGTCTGCTCCAAGGCTCTGGAGTCATGTTAGCTTTGGAATATTAGATATTTTCACAGCATTCTAGTAAAATATTGTGAGAAAGCACTTAGAAAATGGCAGCAAGTTTTCATAGCCCTGTTTGAAAGTCTTCCTGGAGTGAACCGAGAGCCTGTGATCCTGTAATCCCACCATACTACTTGTGTTGCAGGAGGAGTCTGCTGCTCCCACTCATAATTTGGCTTTTGATAGATGTTTTTGACAGTTCTTGCAGTGTGCTGATCTCAGGCATCAACCTCTCAGCAGGTGCCTGCTAATGCCTGTTTGTCACCAGCATTCAGTGGAAATGAACTGTCATTGCTCCCCAGCCGTGATTGTTAAGGGTTCAGTGAACTTTTCTTTCTTCTTCCAGGTTATAAGACCCTTTTGAAAGGAATTTCAGGGAAGTTCAGCAGTGGAGAACTTGTTGCAATTATGGGTCCTTCAGGAGCTGGGAAGTCAACGCTTATGAACATTCTGGCAGGATACAGGTGGGTAACATTGAAAATCCCAAGTTCAGATAAGCAGAGGAAATATTACCCCAGTGTTTGTAGAAAATAGGTATTTCACAGATTTTGAATTAGATTCTTCCTGCTTATATTGTTTCTGTTTGTCCCATTCTGTTCCCTTGGGAATTTATCTCTTAACAAGTGAGATCCAAAAATAAGAAGCAATTTAAAACCCAAAACACACACACACAAAAAAAAACCCAACTAAAAATCTCCTTTTTGGCTCTGTAACAAATCTGACTCAGTGTCTTATGTTTGTGGTGGTTTTTAAATCACATTTTATAAACACTTGAAGAAATTACTCTCTTTAGTCACCACTTCATAGTGTTAATGTCTTCTTGACCAAACTGCAATGACTGAAGTGATTCACCCTCCTGAATCCCCTCCTGTATGGCCAAACGCGAAGTGTCTCCGTGTTGTTGTCATTTGGGGCATAAGGAACAGGATAGAGAAACCTAAAAAAACCCTATTTTTAATGTTTTGATGTTTTTTTAGGCACCAATATAGGACAGCACACATTTTGTACTAACCTTGAGTAAAATTTTCAGCAGCATTGCAAGAAGCCTTGTATGAAAGAGAGCACAATCAGGAAATGAAACGATTTCTAGCCACTGCATCGGTTTTATTTCATGGTGGCAATAATTAGCTAAGACTTCCACACACTGAGGCCTCTGGCAGCACAAGGGAAGGCAGGATTCACCTCTGGTTGTTTTCTGGGTTGGTTTCAGAGAGACGGGAATGAAAGGAGAAATCCTCATCAATGGGCAGCCCCGGGACCTGCGCTCTTTCCGCAAAGTCTCCTGCTACATCATGCAGGATGACATGCTCCTTCCTCACCTGACCGTCCAGGAAGCTATGATGGTGAGGTTTTTCTTCTTGTTCTAATTTATCTGAGCAGGAGAAAATGAAAAAAAAAAATAATCTCTGTGTATTGTGCACGTGTTCCCACTCCTGGCAACACCACAACCCGTCGTCTGTGTTTGATCCTGCTCGGTGAAAGTGCTTGGACTTTAGTGTTGCCTCGAATTCCGCTTCAGGCTCATTCTTCTAAGGGTTGTGCGAGCTTTTTTAGCTTTGTGATTTTCAATTTGTGACCAGCGTTGTGATGTAGAAGAAGATCTAAGGCTCTTCTCAGACCTCCTAGAGAATGGAACCCGAAATTCTTCACAAATGCATCTTTGTAGGGACGATCTGTTCTTACCTGATGAGTAACCTTGTCTCTCCCTTTCTCCCCATCTTCCATGTTCTGACTGCTAATTATTATTTTACTTTAGCATGGTCTCTCTGTGCTTTCTACTCTTTTGTACCTTTTCTTTAATAAAGGCATTGTATAAAATCTCTTTCATTTCTTCGTGGGAAAACAACAGGAACAGAATAATTCCAACATATACAGGCAACATAAATTCTTCTTACTCCTTTTCATGGCATTAAGAAGTTTGAAAATTGCCAACTTGACCAGTTAGTCTAGAAGTGCCTGTTACTCAGCCTGAGAAATGAGCCAGTTTTTCTCAGAGGTTGTTCCCAATACAAGGCTAAGGATGCTCACACTGTATGCTGGCATCAGTTCACAAATTTTAAGGCCAGAAAAAAAAAATCACTGTAGTTTTTTTTGTAGCTAATTTTTCTACAAAAGTTCTTTTCTGTGATGAAGTTTTTCTTCTCTTTTGTTTACTTGAGCATTGTAGTCAGAATCCCATAGGACCACTTTCATAGAATTGGGCCCAGGTTATACTTGCTGTCTAAATTAATCAATCAAGGCTCTGACAAAAATAATTACCTAGCAGTTTAATTGCTTTTAATAAAGGTTAATCATGATGTTTTGCGGAGCTGCCTCTCAGGACAGCAGATGACATCTTTCACAAGATTATTTATTTCTGTGCTTGTTTGTTTGCATCCTGGAGAATGCAGAGTTCAGTTATCCTTGTGATATGGATGAAGCACAAATAAACTGGTTTTTTCCAGTGTTGCCTGAGAATTTACTGGCTGTGCAAAAAACATGACTCTTTTATCTTCTTCTCAAGCTCTTTGACTGTCAGAGTGGCCTTTCTAATATGTTTTTTGTCAGGTGCTCCAGTGATCGTTAAGTCAAATTACACTCAGTTAGTGCACAGGCATATGTGCTGCTTGTGATTTGAACATTATAGTTCAACTTCAGATTTGCTGACTGGGTTTAAAGAAGTTGTTTAAGTTAGACTTTGGGATGTTGTGCCTGAGGCAGCTGCTGTAACTGGTGGTTGTGCTTCAGACCGGTTCAAAATCCAATTGCATTGGTTTTGCATTCCAGGTATCTGCTCATCTGAAACTTCAAGAGAAAGATGAAGGGAGGAGAGAAATGGTATGTACACTGTCCATCAAACTTAGAATTTTGGGGGATGCCAAGGCCATGAAGTGAGCTCTGTAAAGCAGACATTTTTATCTGACATAGAACTGCACTGGATTTGTGATGACAGAATGAATCACAACCTCGAAGCTGACAGGTGTCATTAGGAGGGATTGTTAACTGCAGCCTCCATGAAAGTTGCTTTCAGTATGAGACTGGAAAATTGTAGAAGATTTGCTGAAATAAATGTACAGGTTTTGAAGGATTCCTTCTAATGTACCTTAGCACCTTAGGTTCTCTTATGTGTGTGTGAGGGCTCAGGCATCTCGTGTGTGGTGAGATACATCAGTCACGTGTGGCAATGGTGAGTGTAGCCCTTAATTTTTCCAAGGACTGATAAAAAGCTCAGCAGTTCTTGTAACTGCTGCAGAAATCTCTGTGCTCATGGTTGAAAGAGCAGATCTTTATGGCAGTTGCAACTAATGTATTTTGAAGCTGTGTTGGGTGACTGTGGGTTGGACAAGCAGAAAACCAGGCTAAAACATGCACATGTATTTCCTAAACCATGTGAATGAGCTGCACATTTGCTGCACTGCCCTGCTTCTGCCTCCTGCTGACATAGGGCTTTCCTGAGGGGGAGAGGAGTCCTGGTATGTTTTTGCCCATGGAAACCTGTAACCCAGCTGGACCTGCACTAGGAAGTGTGCTCCTCTCAACCATCCATGGGGAAAAGCGCACGCTTTTCCTGAAATGTGAAAACTGTGTCAACTTCCTAGGTAGAGCAGCTATTTTTGTGGCTGTCCTCTGTCTGTATTTATTTCCAAATTGGAGCAATTGACATTTCTCTAGACTCAGAGAATCCTTGAAAATCAGAAAGAGCTCCACAGAGGGAAACTTAACAGGAATCTTGATAGCTCAAGATTGATTGGATTCTCTCAAATACTTTTTTTTTTTTAAATAAGCTGGACACAGATTTTTTTTCATTGGGAAAAATTTTTCAGAAACAACTGTTGATTTTATTTGTACTTCGAAAGTCTTAAGTCATTTACACTCTAGTAAGTTAGGCCAGGCAAGTTAATTCACTTGTTTACGCTGTCACTGTAATTGCAAAGAACTCTGTGAGTCAAAAAACTGTGCTGTATGTGTTTATTCAACACATGTTAGAAGGGCGTTTTCTGGTTAGTGTTACTGGCTGAGCTGGACTAGATAATTCATTTTATTGTTGTAAATTTTAGTGTAAGTATTTATCGTAGATGAACATTATGAATTTTATGCACTTGTGCTAGCAGGATTACTTGTTTCAAACAGGGACAAGTGAAAAATCCTCCAGTGAACCATAGTTTATGTTTCTAGTTGGCCTAGCTTGTGCTGCCCGTGTCCTGTGGCATCTTTCCTAGAGATAAAGGGAATGAGGTAGTTGAGATCTCCTCTCTGAGAAGAAGAGTTAGTGGGTTGTGTTCTTTTTTCACTCTCTCTCACTGAGAGAGGTAACTCCTGGAAATTAAAATCAGGACAAACAAAGACCATTTTTTAGCATGTCAGCCACCCTTTCTGGTAAACTCCCCCCATCCAAGCAATTATCACTTTCAAAATGATGGGCTCCTTTTCCTACACTTAAGTGAAATGTTAAATGCCCAGTTTTGCTTCCTACCTTTGAAGTGGTTCACTTTTTCGATTGCATGAGCAGTGTACCTTGGATTCACTCATTTTTTATGTCCATGCTTTTACCGCTGCCAGAGAGCTGCTTTTCTTGTATAGCTCTGCCAGGCCAGATCTACAGTCACTGAAACAGAAAAATTCATAGTGTCTGGGATTGTTCTCCTTTTGCTCCAAAGACCCTGGGACAGGCTGTGCCCTTCCTGGGACTGTGCCTTGAGGAAATCCCGAACATCTGAGAGTACCTGTGACAACTGAATCGACTCTGGGGAGCATGAAAACACTTAAAATCAATGGCTGCACTTCAAAGAGTAGACTGTGAAGAAAAGAACAGATTAGATAAAGCAGGTCATTGCTCTATAGAAACCACTGACTTTTGTTGTGCAGTTCTCCAGTCTCTTGTAGATACAACCCAGAAGTTCTGTTGAAAGAAACTTCTTGGTCTCTCTGTGTAATAACCCCTCACATGCTGCACAGCTCTTTTGATGTCAGTGCCATATCCATATATATACAGCAGTAGGAGAACTGATTTCCACTCCATTTTCACAGGCAAGGCTTCTCTACTGAGTAGTGAGGTCATGTAGGACAAACAGGTAGAATTTGGGTCGAAATAGTAAATGATAGATTTGTTAAGACCCGCTGAAACTAATAAATGCTACATTAGATGGGAAAAGGCTTCGGTGCACGGATGATGAAACAAAGTTATGGGCTAGTTTACAATCTGCATGAAGATCAGTAAAGAGGCTCTTTTTTTTTTTTTTTTTTTTTTTTTTTTTTTTTTTTTTTTTTTTTTTTTTGTGCTGACAACTTGGAATGTTTTGTTTCCTGCAGGTAAAAGAAATACTGACAGCCCTCGGTTTGCTGACCTGTGCCAACACGAGGACTGGGAGCCTTTCTGGAGGCCAGAGAAAGCGTCTTGCCATTGCTTTGGAGCTGGTGAACAACCCCCCTGTCATGTTTTTTGATGAACCAACCAGGTACTTCAAGGCCAGAAATTAAAGACAAATACTGGTTTATATAGCAGAACAGCCCTACAGAAAAGCTATTCTCCTCTAAGTCCTTGGAAAAGGCTCATTTTGTGTTGCCTGTAAGCACTGAATAAGGCCACAAGAAATAATTTGATTTGGGTACTTAGTGCCTTGGGTCACTGCTGTAACTGCCAGACCATGGGACTATAAATAATACTTAAAGGAGGCACAAGCTGAAGCAGGAAGGGAGACAGGAAAATGTTTTCAGGTTGTGGCACGAATTTTCTTTTTCAAGCAAAGGTAGCTTGAATATAAACATTTTAAGATGTGACTCTTAGTAATGAATGTGATCAGTCTTTGAGGAGGCTGGGAAAGCTATAAATATGTATCTATTCATTAAAGTTGGGAGAATTTAAATCTGCAGTCTTAAAATGTAAGAAGTCCCTTAAGGCAGCTTTGAGAATACTCTGTTTTTCATTCTCAGGCATGCTTCCAACTTAATTAAAAGACCGATGGAGAAATACAAGCATAAGGTTGGCATATGATAAAATTAAACTGCTACAGAGAAAATTTGTAAAAGGATAATAAGGAGAGGCCAAGCAGCAAATCCACGTGCTGGTTTTGAGTGTTGCCTATGGACCTGTGGATAACAAACTTCTTTCTTTTTATTCAGTGGCTTGGACAGTGCATCATGTTTTCAGGTTGTCTCTCTGATGAAGGCTTTAGCCCAAGGTGGCAGGTCCATCATCTGCACCATTCACCAGCCCAGTGCAAAACTGTTTGAGCTGTTTGATCAGGTATTATTCTCAAACTTCCTCTCTATGCATGGTTTAGGTAAATTATACTTTCAAGGCTACCCTCTTTAAGTGAAAACGTGAATAATTTTGGTCTGTGGCAACAAATCAAATGAAGAAATTAAATAAGAGCGAAATATACTTTTTGGATATGTTTTTTTCCTTCTTCTCTGCCTGTTTCCATTATTTGCATATAATATTTTTAGAGAATCTGGTTGGTATGTTTGTGAAATCATGATTATTGTGCTTGTGATTATTGTGCTTGTGATTATCATGCCTTCACTCACCACTGCTCCTGTGCAGAGGGCTGTCAGTAAAGTAAATTGGAATAATATAAAAGCAGGAAAGGTTTAATGTCAATGTCTGCAATGTTGCTGGTAGATATTCTCATCCTTGATACATGGGTGTGGATTCAGAAGAGTTTATTCACATGAAATGATAATAATTGAAATGAAGTCAGTTGGAGAACTTTTCTCCAACCTAACAATGGGATGTGGACCATGTGTGTTTAGACTAGATATAAATTTACTTTAGTCTTGTTCGGAGATTTAGATTAGACCCCTGAGAGGTGAGAGAAAACCTACTACACCACAGGTGAAGAAGCTCTTGCAGACTGCCAGTCTGCCAGGGAGGTTTATTTAAAGCCAATAGTATGGCTAAAAGTAAGACTAATCAAGCTGTTTCCCGTTGCTGTACTGTCCCACCTCTCTTTCCATTACTGCATTCACCAGCCTCATCTCCCAGCCCAAAATATCCATAATTAAATGGAAATTAAATGGCTTGACTCTACAGTTTCTTGCCTATTTTCAGCATATGTCTGAGGCTGGAATTAGTGTGTTTCTATATTAATGTGCTTTAAGTCCTGGAGGGAATGTTTGCAGAACTCAAACCTTAAGCATTTAATTTTCCACTAGTTATAATTTCATACAGAAATTAGTTTCAAGTGGTGACAAATTTTCCCAAGGTGTTCTTCCCCCACAGACAAGAAGACATCATTAGGTTCATGGATTGGTGTCATACAGGTAGCAGGTTCAAATATTTTGATACTATTTCACGTTTTTCTTTCTTCCTTTTCTTTTTCTTTGCCTTGTTTTCCAGCTCTATGTTTTAAGTCAAGGTCAATGCATTTACCGTGGGAAGGTAACAAACCTAGTCCCTTACTTGAGAGATTTGGGTTTGAATTGCCCAACCTACCACAATCCTGCAGATTTTGGTAAGGACAATTTGAATAGTTCATTTAAATTAGTTTGTGTTAGATTAGTACCTTCAGGGTAATGGGGACCATGGTGTGTGGTACACTTTTGTATATATATTCTTATGTGCACGTGTACATATATGTACCAAAATTCAAAATAAAATTATTCAGATTTTTTTCCTAAGTAATTTGAATGCCATCTAGTGGTGCAGTTTAGTGAATATTTCTCTCTGGTGGAAGTCCAGGTTCAGGAGATGAAAGATAAAGTATATTCTTTAGTGTTTCATAGTAATTAGTGGCTTTTCAAAGTGGCTCCAGCATTCTGTTCTTCTTAATCTTGAACAATCCCACTGTGGTATTGTAGAGTTCATAACACTGAGAGTTTTATTCAGTGTTGCTTCTTAATTCCAAAGAAGCAGTAAGGACCACGAAAATAGACTTTTGTAATTTCTTTTATTACCAGGACTATCCTCTAAAATGGCTCATTTAACTTCCAGGATGAAGAGACCTCTCTGAAGATTTACAGAAAGATGATTTAAATGTTGCGTGTATAGATGGGAATTTGCATGTGGCGCTTTAGGGCCTGCTCCAGGCCAAACTTCTGTTTCTGTCAGTGCTGCAGAATCAATAACAAAGCTTGTAGCTCGTCAGTAGTGCAAACCAGCAACTTAAGCTCTGTTTCTTGTAGTTATGGAAGTGGCATCTGGCGAGTACGGGGACCAGAACAGCCGGCTGGTCAGGGCCGTGCGGGAGAGGATTTGTGACACCGACTACAAGAGGGATGTGGGTGGTGAGAACGAGCTGAACCCCTTCCTCTGGCACCGGCCTTCTGAGGAGGTATTTTGTGCATCACAACTACTGGACATGGCTGGAGGCTGGAGGGGGAGGAAGGGAGTTTAAAACCTTGGCCAGCGGAGGTTTCTGGGCACATTCAGATGGCGCGAGTGGGGTTTTGTGAATGAGAACCAAGCAAGGTACTGCAAAGAAAGAAGTTCATCCTGTGATGTGTTCCTGCAGGATTCCTCCTCCACAGAAGGCTGCCACAGCTTCTCTGCCAGCTGCCTAACCCAGTTCTGCATCCTCTTCAAAAGAACTTTTCTCACCATCATGAGGGATTCGGTAAGACTGCCTTTATAATAATGTTTGTAGCCAAAAGGTCTATTCAGTTGGGTGTGAGATACTGTAATACTCCTCAAAGGTCATGTCCAACAGCCCATCCATGAAGATTATCACAGAATTTCAAAGGAAAGAGACTGATCTTTCACTCTTGCTGTTAACTGTACCATTTTCATTGTGAACAACAGCTTTCTTCACAGCACTCAGAAGCACCTGGCCTAAAAACCTGAAGCTTAAATCCCCTTTGTGCTGGCAGGTTCCTTATACACTTATTAATCCTACTGAAAAGTGAATGAGAGGTTGTACTAGTGTGTCACAGAATTAGGTTTTCCAGAAAATTCAGGATGACAGAAATAATAACTTCAGTGTGATGCAAAGAGTTAATACTTGAAGTCTATTCTTGGAAACAGACAACTGGGAGATAAAAATTTTGCTTCTCTGAAAAGGGAACATTTCTGTTTTCATACATTTAATATCAAGATGAACTAAGTGTCATAATAAAATTCTTCATTCCCAAGGGAAAAAAAGAAGCATATCTTCCACCTTTTTTCTTAAAATAAACAACATCCATCAAAATCCCAAGCCCTGCAGTGTTTGTATCTGTTCAGTAAATGTTTTGGGAGCCTAGTTGTTTTGCCAGCACATTTCTTTGCCATAACTTGTTCTCTCTCACTGTTTTACACTTACATTTGCAATTTACTTTGCATTTGTCAACAAGGACTCATTAAGTTAATGAATTAAGATTATGGGAAACTGTAACTTATTTTCTGATGCATAGATTGAAAAACATTGTTGTTTTTAAGATTTTTTTTTCCTGCTCAACTCTAAAGGCTTGCAGCTACAGATTTTGTTATTTCTTTTGTTCTTCCAAGCCTCTTGTAGGAATACAGTATTGCAGAAAGGCACAGAAAGCTAATGTATGCCTGGTGAAGTTAGTTTGGTCTATACAAGCCTGAAATACCTTTCTGCTTTTCTTCTGCTCTGGGAAATTTATATTTTAGTCAAAGAGAAAGTGTCCTTCTCCTGATGAATGAGAGCCAGTGACACGGTCAGAGTAAGATTTCAGGTTGCAGCATTTGCAGTTTCTGCCTGTATGTACTGGAAGAAATATTCATGTATCTGATGGAAACTGGGAAGCTCATAGTTTTTCTTGGCTGAAGCCCAGTTTACCAGTAGGAAATGAACATTTTTCATGGCAGGGGGGTTGGAACCAGGTAATCTTTAAGGTCCCTTCCAACCCAAACCATTCTACGATTTCTGTGCAAGTTCTTCTGGACATAAGTGCTCCTTTTCTGCAGCCTGTATATCTGATTTCAGCCATGTTGCCATTGTTTTTGAGCCCAGACTCTCTGATCAGAAATACCCCTCTTTCCTTGCTCGTAGGTCCTGACACACCTGCGTATCACCTCACACATTGGCATCGGGCTGCTCATCGGGTTGCTCTACCTGGGCATCGGCAACGAAGCTAAAAAAGTCCTCAGCAACTCCGGCTTCCTCTTTTTTTCCATGTTGTTTCTCATGTTTGCTGCGCTCATGCCAACTGTCCTCACCTGTGAGTACCAGTAATTCTGTTACATCAGCGGGGAAGGAGTTGCAGAAAGATGGGAGGGTGTTTGGATGAATCTGTTTTGTGTAAGAGAACATTTGACTTGTGCTTCTACTTCTAAGACAGGTGCTGGGAGGCACTGCTGCAAGCTGAGAAAAGCTTGGCCAGTGGCACTTCTCTCTGCCTGCTTTTGTTAGTGTTTCTCAACAGTTTGTTCACTGTCACAGTCCTGGGCTGGAATTTCCCCTTGTGCCAAGTGCATCTCAGCCAGTGAGATGAGCTTGTGACTGGTCTTGGGGAGGATGTAATTATTTCTTTACGACTCCTGAGTCCTGACTTCTCCATAAAATCAGCGTATTCATGTGGTGTCAGAAGCAAACTCTTGCAGTATGGACTGCTTGGGAGCAGAGGACTTCCTTTGGGAGTGCTATTACTTTGGATTCCCTGTTAGACCAAAAAGGAATAACCAAGTTCTTTAAGTTTTTGACACCGCTTTTAATTGAAAAATCCTCTTTAAGTGAGGTTCAGATAACTGAGTAGACTGGTCTGTAGTCTGAACAGTGAGCAACTCTCAGGGCTGACCTCTTACATTTTATTACACGTCACTGGAACTGTTGCTGCTCTGTCAGAGACCTGAGAGTTCCAGTCCTGCCATGGGACTGCAGCAGTGCAGGATTAGATATGGATAAACCGTGTTGTTATGTGCAGCAATACTGCACACTGGCAATCCAACTTAATAATTTGTGTCCTCTGCAGTTCCCCTTGAGATGGGAGTGTTTCTCAGAGAGCATCTCAACTACTGGTACAGCCTGAAAGCCTATTACCTCGCCAAAACCATGGCTGATGTTCCTTTTCAGGTATATGCTCTACTCTTCAATACAGTAAGAACCATTTAAGTTCATGACAAGCCCACTTGCCAGGAAGATTAGTACTAGTATTTTATCCATCTGAATGGTGGACAAACTAACTGTCTATACATGTCTGCTGAAGCTTCAGGGCCAAGTCAGAAGCACCCTAAGAGTGCAGGACTTCACAAAAGCTGAGACCTGACCCAATACTCTTTTCATAAATAGATGACCATCTCTGCTTTTTTTGCAGAAGGGGAGTTGAGAAGGGCTGTAAGTGAGTGGGATCTGTTTTCTAATGCCCAAGTAAGATAGATATCACAGTCTGTGGCAGACTCTCTTCAGCCATGTTGTGTAATGGAAAGACTGAGACCTGTGGGTTAATTAGAACTCCCCATGTTTTTGTCTTACTCAGAGTAACAGCAAATGTTTGGCTTTAATGGACTAACTCCGAGTGTATCTCCCTGCAGATCATGTTTCCTGTGGCTTACTGCAGCATTGTGTACTGGATGACTTCACAGCCATCTGATGCTCTCAGATTTGTCCTCTTTGCAGCCTTGGGAACCATGACATCCCTGGTGGCTCAGTCCCTGGGCCTTCTCATAGGTGCAGCCTCTACATCCCTCCAGGTACTAATGGTGTTTTGTGGTCTCACGGGAACCCTGCTGTTTCCTTACACTACTTGCTGTGGCTGCTGCTGTGTCCCCAGGATATTTGTTGAGAGGTGACAGGCAAAAAGTTGTCTTGGTCTGATGGAGCTCTTGATGTTTCCCATTAGCATCAACTTAAACATGTGAGGCCCTGAAGTTCCTTCCCCACCTGAAAAGGGCTGTGCCTGTCCCTGCTTGAGGGGATTGTCATTTCCTGTTCATCGCAAACTTAGCAGGTCCTGGAAACTGCAGGACTGGTGCACTTCTGTTCCCCTACAAGGTGGAGGTAGGATCAATATCTCAGGAGAGGGTTCTTCATACACATCAAAAAGGGTTGCAGGAGGCAAGGTAGGAAGAGGCTTGCCCAGGAACCAAACTTCTGCAGAGGGAGGGAGAGAAGCAGCTGTTGGCATGACTGGAAGCTGGCTGTGTAACTCCATTCTGCTTCTTGTCAGGGGATGTGCTGAGGTGACCATTCCACAGCAGAGCTGTTCTGGGCTGCTGGTGATAACAGATGATACTGACTTCAACATGCATTGAGGATATCGAGATTTCTGCAGTAGAAGACTTGATTCCCTCTCTGTCCCCACTCTGTGGAGACCAGCATAGCCCTGTTGTGTGATCCCTGTGCTTCTGCTCTTCCCAGATACCTACATGGGTCTATGCCCTCAAGGGAATATAGAGAGGATAGGCTAGAGCTGGGTCCAGCTCTGTCATCCCCACCAAAGCCACCCAACTGGAGATGTTCCTAATCCTCTTCACAGTGTTTTAGGACCAGTTGAAGCTACTGTTTTTGTGGGATTTGGTGAGGAAGGAAATCTGTGTGTTCTTAGAGGAGAGTGAGGGGAAAAAAGATAGTATTTAGAAGAGGGGTCTTATACCCAGAGAAGCAAAGGAATCCCAGTGCTCCTCTGGCTCTGTAAACTTCTTGGTGGGTTCATGTCCTTCGAAGGACAGATCCCAGCACAACAGTGCTGTCAATGAGTAAAAGGGTTAAGGAAGAAGAGAGGGACCCCTTTTCCTCCACTAACAGCATCTCCTCCTCACAAGAAATTTGATAAGAAAAAAGAAATCAGTAATTTTCTTGTATTCAGAACTGTGATAATTTTGGGGAGTAGCATTACTCGCAAGAGTAATGAACAAAGCAACTTAATTTTTATTTTTTCCGCTCCCTTTCTGATGAGAAACTGTCCATTTGTTTTCTTCACAGGTGGCAACGTTTGTGGGCCCAGTTACTGCCATCCCAGTTCTTCTCTTCTCTGGGTTTTTTGTCAGCTTTGATACCATCCCAACATACCTCCAGTGGATGTCCTACATTTCCTATGTCAGGTACTGCTAAGGAGGCCTTCAGCCTCCCATCTGGAAATGCTTTCTTTTGCTTGCCTTTGCTTGGTTGGTTATTTTGGGTGCCAGAGAGACTGTTCACAGCATGTTCTTTCAAGAGTATAAACATATATATGATGTAAACCACATCGTGTCACTGCATTTTATGTTGTATGTGTTGTAAAATAAAAAGGAGCAGGTTATTGGCCACAAGTCCATGTCAGTCCCTTTGAAGTCAGTGGGATTCTTCCTGGATTTTGCAACAGTGGATTTCTGAAATAATGGGGACAGTACCCCCAACTGAGAAATTGATGCCAGTCCCTCATGTTGGAAGAAAATGTTGTATAAATGACTGTTGTATCCTAGATGGACTATGTTTTTGAGTTTTCCAGTAGCGCTGCCACAAGAGACATGGGATTTGTGTCACCCGTAATTTAAACTTGTGTTTTAAGATCCATAGGCACCTTATATCCCATCTATGTCTGTCATTCTCACTGTCTGACGCAGCTATCCTAAGATGGGACAGTTCCCATCAGGAAACCTCTGGAGCTTGGCACGGGTAGTTTAGACTAGACACTGAAATGTTTACAGCTGTAATTAGGAGGGGTGCCCAAACTGCACTATTACTGGGAAAACCCAAGCAAAAACACCCTCTCATTTGGCAGGTGAGGTCTTACACAGACACCTATCAAAGGTAACGAGACTGCATCCCCCCAGTTAACACCTAGAATTCAAGGTGAGGCCTCAGGCCCATGTGGGGGCTCCTGAAGCTGGAGGGGACTATCATGTGCATGGGATCCATCATGGGCTTATCTGCTTGGAAGAATCAAATGCTGGGTGCACCCAGTGCCAGGGGAGATGTGAGAACATTGTTAGTGGAACCATCAGTGCATGGAGGGAAACGGAAGACATGTTCCAGATCGATGCTGTTTTTAATATTTCTGACTTCAAACCGTAATTGTATCCTTGTTGCTTATTTAAAAAGGAAAGTAAATTAATGATGTCACATTTTAAAAGGAAATTTCTGGCTATGAGCTGAAATTGGGCTGCTTTCTGTTTTAACGTTTTTCTTTGGAGAAATTGTGCTATACACTAATTTGAAGCATTTAAAGGCACAACTTATGTCCTTGTTCCATCTTACATAAAATGCCAGTGACGTGTCATGTGCTTGATTGTAACAGGGATAGAACTTTGCCCCAAGACATGTGTGTCAGAATGGTATTGAACCCCCCAGTGTTTCAGCTGAGCCCTCACAGGGATTGTGTTGCTGGAGTGTTTCTGAACAGATCACCAGGACTTTTCCTTGTAATCCATCCCTCTTCTTTCCAGGTACGGGTTCGAAGGAGTTATTCTCTCCATCTATGGACTGGATCGGGAAGATCTGCATTGTGACAAAGACGACACTTGCCATTTTCAAAAATCAGAGGCCATCCTGAGAGAACTGGATGTAGAAAATGCCAAACTTTACCTGGACTTCATTGTTCTCGGAATTTTCTTCTTCTCTCTGCGCCTGATTGCCTATTTCGTTCTCAGATACAAAATCCGAGCGGAGAGGTAAAGGAGAAGCAGCTAAACCAATGCAGTAGGGAGATCTTTAGACATGCAATAGAGGGCACTTGACATTGTCTCACTGTGGCAGGCTGGTCCCCAGTGCCCAGCCAGACGCTGTTCTGACCGAGCCCATGGAGAGCCACAATGGGATAGTGGACATACAGTGTTAAGCCAATCAGTCCAGTTGGGTTGGGTCATGTTTTCATTACACTTTCTAGCTTTAACTAGGAAGAAGAACTAGAAGGGAATTTTACACCACAGAGTATCAAAACCGAGGCAGTGTAACTGTAATAAAAAACCTGCCTGCAGGAGCTTTCCTTAGGAAAACCAATTTCGGGATAAGGTTGCTGGGATATAAGTCCTGGTAGCCAGAATAGTATAATGTCCTCTCTAGTTGACAAGGTAATGAGATGCAAAATGAGGAATGCAATGAAAATAGGGTTCTCTCATCTTTTTAAATCTAGAGTTTCATCTTTGCGGTTTTTCTATATATTATTTTGCAATTCTTTTCCACAGAATTACCCCTTCTGGCCAAAAGTCTGTAAATGTATTAATAAGGTAAAGACATCTTTTTAATATGGATACTTTTTTAAAGCAAACCTAAAGTGATTCAAGTAATTATTTTTGTTTCTGTCTGAATTTAGAATTCTGGTGCTTTACTTGTCGAGCTGGTCTCCTATCTGAAAACTGTAATGATAGGAGGAAAAGGCAGATTCCGAGTCTGCACTAAACCTCTGGTCCTATTTGGAAGCATCCCTGAATAGCACACGCAGTTAGACATGTTCAAGCTGTCACTGAACGGTTGAAAAAACCATTATTTTGCAGTGTCTTTTAAATCCTTGGTATTTGTGATAGTCAAAATACTAACTCTGCTCATTACCTGTTTGATCTACCTCCTGTGAATATAAAAATCAAAGCACTCCAAGGCTCATTTTTTTCTTAAATTGTGAAAGCAGAATTTGTCCCTAAAGTGATTGTTAAAGCCTGATGGAGTGCAAGAGTTGTCCAGAGATCAAAGCCTGGGGTACTGTGTTAAAACACTTGTGACTGCCTCATACAGCAGGAGTCATTTTGTCTGCACTGTGTAGAACCCTCCTCAAACATACAGATGACCTTGTAATCCTGCAGATCTAATTATGCCAGGTAGTTCTGTTCTCATCCTAAAGTCCACGTGCACAACGTGGGAATTAATAGCTACTTCATCTAAACATCAATGAAACTGTTGTTTTGTGTATCTCAGCTGTGTAAATTTGGTAGGGGGAATTCTAGTTCCAAGCTGATGTGAATTTTGTCACCAATTTTGATGGGTTTGGATTTTCAAATCTTAAGTGGAACCGTGGGGCCCATACTTGTGTTGGACACCTTGGTGAACTTCAGTGCAAATTCCACTGCCTTCTGCCATTCCTGTGAATTTATCTTGGTGTCCCAAACCTCTGAGTGAGACCTACACTCTCTGTAAATGTATTATTCCTGTCAGGATGCTGAAGTCTTGTAGGTTGGAAGCAGCTCAATGTCAGCAAAACATGCAGGAGCTCAACAGCTCGTGGCAGTAGAGTAGATAAGAGAGACCTCGTGCATCTGCTGGCCCTCTCTGTTTTCAGAGACTCCATGGCTACGTCTGTACTAGTGAAATAAATAGTGCCAGGGCCAGCTCTGTTAGTCCTCAAATGACTGGGGCTGACAGGAATGGTCCCTGTACTGACTTCTAAACAGAGCCATTGTCTGGAAAAGCTCTGGCTGTGCTGGGCTGCAGCTCTGCCATTGTTTCCCAGTTTTTCTGGCCTATGCCCAGGCTCTGTTTAATTTACCAATACAGACCAGGTATATCTGTTAAACTCAGGACGTTTGAATTAAACCTGTGTTCTGGAAGACTTTAAATCGAGTCACATATTTTGGGAAGGTTAGCTGAACCTTCCCTGAAAGTAAGATTGGCCTTTGAAAGCAAGGTCAATCCAGTGTAGAGGAAAACCAAAATCCTTTCACAGCCTCTTTGCATAATTTTTGTTGCTGTTTTTTCTCCAAAATCTTTTGTACAGCTCTGCAGCTTTTCCAGGCGTAATCACAAGCAGGTATAGACCTGTATGGCTGTCAGATTTGAGAAATTAAGAATTTTAGGTATTCTAAATAATACTCATAACTGTGAACAGTTTGTAAATAATTCACAAGTCTGAAATCCCTCGGCACGACGTGCCTTGATTATTTCAAGACCCTCAAAGTATTTGTGAATATTTTACAGGCAGTTCAAACGCTGTTTGCAGGCAGACAAAAGAATACATTTGCCAAATGACTCTTTGGTTGCACACTTTTGGTCCAGCTGCAGGCTGGCTGAGTGTGAGAGAGTGTGACATCCAGGGCATTGAACACCTTCAGGGCTCATGTGTTGTGTTTACCAGCACCATTTACCAAATACCACACTGAAAATCCCTTGCAGTGTTCCAAAGGAGGTCACTTTGCTGACCATCCCAACACCGGTGACTTACACGATGCTGTTTTCTCCCCTCCAGACCAGTTTAGCAGTACGAGTTCCCTGGATGCTGTCTTGTTATCTGTGCCTGTTCCTCTGTCTGTAGACCTTCTTATCTTACCTCTTCAGTCTGCAACGTGTCCTCCTGTACTGTAACTTTGTATGTGTTATGGTAGCCAAAAGTCTGGTCCTGGCGGGTGTTCCTAATAAGGAAATGCAGGCTCTGGAATATTTTTTGTCACTCCTTTTTTTGTTAGATACGCTTTTTCCCAGCCATCTGCTGACAGCACTTAGCTGGAAGTTACTATTCTAAGGAACACTTTCAGACTGTAGTATCCCAGTAAAGAAATAATTCTCTGGGAACTCAGTGGTACTCATAGATGAGGTAATTGTTCTTTCCCTCCTTAGCCTGCAAATTACCTAATGATCTCTCTTTTGTTGCTACTGCGGGGCAGAAGTATTTAAAATCCATCCCAATTATGTTTTCATATACTGCAAAGATTTTTAACATAGTCTCAGGCTGGCTTTTTTCTCTTCATGTGGAAATAAATTCTAGCAGGCTGGTATAAAATGCATTCCTGTTCATTCAAAGCTGAGCATTCATGTGCTGTTGTGTTAAGCAGCACATTGTGAAGCTCTGGAGGCTTCACGTGGAAGAATAATAAGGCCAGCAAGGTTCTGAAGTCTTCAAATCCTCAGTTTGTATAGCCATGTATAAAGAGCCATAAACAGTTTGAAATCAATGCCATTTTTGCCATTTGAATCAGTCACAGTCTGACTAAAAGTTGCATAAGAGGCTAAAGGTTTCTAAAGGTCACTTGAAGACTGAATGTATGATTTCTGTTTTGATTGCAGGAAGACTCTAGTGTCCTGTTGGCCTCCTTATTATATTTTTACTTGTTTTGACATGTTGCTTTGGTTACTATGTGCATCAGTTAAGACTTTAGGTGCTTCATATTCTTTTTGTTGTTTTTTCTTTATGGAAAACTTGCGTATAATATGAAACACCCTGGAAGATTTTAAAAATTACCTGAAACATTATTATTTACAATTAAATAAAAGATTTGGAAAGCAGATTCTACCCATAAGAAATTGAGAAAATTTCATCTTTATAGGTCAAAGGGAGTAACAGAAGACTGGTGCTGAAATGCTCTTCAGTTCTTAGAATTTGGAGCCCAAGTTATTGATTTTTGTTAAAAGAGAGGAATATGTAGACATGTAATAGAAGAGCTGGTTATGTAAGTGGGAGATAATGAACACTTGAGTCCAAGTACTGGATGTATCAGGTGATTGACAGTTCCATTTATGCTTTTGTGTCAAAGCCTGTGTTGTCAACAGAAATGAGTGTTTTACGAAACATTTTTTCTGGACAGAAGTGTGGCGTATACTGACCTGTGCCACCCCAGTGATCCTCACAGAGGAGATCTTACCTGTCCTATTTACACAACGCTAGATGGATGTTCTTGATTCTGAGGATCTAAGAATCAGGGGGAAGGGCAACAAAGCAGATACCCTGCTGGGAGTCTGTTACAGACCACCCAAGCAGGGTGAAGAGGCAGGTGAAATACTCTATAAGAAGTCTGGTGATCTGAGCAGAGAAGGACTGGTGGGTGACGTGATGGCTGGAGGTTGTCTTGGGCACATCATGAAATGGCAGAGTTTTTGGTTCTTGGGGAAATAAGGAGGGGGATCAGCAGAACTGCTGCCTTGGACTTCTGAGGGCAGCCTTTGGCCTGTTTGGGAACCTGGTTGGCAGAGTCCCTTGGGAGGCCATCCTGAAGGGCAGAGATGTCCAGGGAGGCTGGAGGTTCTTAAGAAGGAAATCCAAAAGACAAGCCAGCGGAGAAGAAGACCAGCCTGGTTGAGCAGAGAGCTTTGGCTGGAACTCAAGGAACAAAATAAGAGTGTATCACCTTTGGAAGAAGGGTCAGGCAACTCAGGAGGACTGCAAGGATGCTGTGAGGTTACACAGGGAGAAGTTAAAAGGGCCAAACCCCAAATAGAACTCAATCTGGCTCCTGCTGTAAAAGTCAGTGAAAAATGTTTCTGTAGATACAGCACTAAGGAGAATCTCCATCCTTTACTGGATGCCATTTTCTTCCCAGAACAGCCCGACAGGGTGCAATTGCTCAGGAATTTCTTTCCTTTAGTTCTGTGTGGAGATGCATTTATAAAGTCTGATCACGTGAAAAGCTGTTGGGAACTAGAAGTGGGCAGCAAATGACACCGTGTCATGTCCTCTGTAACAGTTTGTGACAGGCTGATCATCGTGGTGCCTGTGACACTGCCACACAGCACTAGTGAGTGCGTAAATTAAGTGCTGAGTGTCACTGAAGTTAGTCATCAGCTCTGCTATTAGTGGACAGGGGCAGTAGAATTTTCAGGGATCATCTCTCGCTGTTCTCCTCTTAAATACCCATTTTCATAATACAAGAGGTTGTTGTAGTGTATCCCACTGAGTGACTTTTGTAGCCCCACGTATCATTCTTCATACTACAAGTCCAAAAGTTGCACATTGGGCGTGCAAGCACAGCAAGTTTCATTTTAATTCTGTTTAATACTTTGTTTCTGTACATTCTTCAAGTAGCGTTTCTGAAGGAGTAATAGCACAAAATGTACCTTCAGTGTTATTGTTACTTTGGAGTCTTAGGATAAACCATGATCTTATGCAGCTGTCAACTGTAGAACTTCCCTTTAAGAGGTTTAGATTTCTGTTGAGACCTGTTGCCAGCACAGTAAAACAGAGGGTGACCAGTCAAAATGTGTCTCCTTTGGCACAAGACATGCCCATGGCTCAGCCTGCGTTCTTCTCTGCGTTGTTTATGCCTTCAAAATCCAAACAAGTTTTTGTCAACCCATTTCCTTTCTGGGGGCTTCCATGCAGCTCAGCCCATGCCTACCAACTGCTTGTGTCCTTACTGCTGGGTATTTGTGGTTGCTGTCCACGTGAGGGTGGGAAAATGAGCTGCTTGGGAACCATGTGGGATAGTTAGAGGTGGAGGGATGACTCTTAGACTTCTTTGAGCTACCAAATACCCAATGTGCTGGATCTCTGGGTGTGCTTTACTCTTTCAAGAAGGAGAAAAAAAAACTTTAAAATGTCTTTCTAAGCAGATTGTAAGGCAACAAGGAAGTTTTTACTTCTAATGGTCATGCGGTTTTCTACTTCAGTGGCATCTGTGATGTCTTTTTTCCTGACCCCATTGTAGCTTATTTTAGTAGCCCATTGAGGGTAATCATGACACAAACTCCTTTCTATTGCTTCCAGCAACCAGCTTTCCTGACCTCAGTGATAATTGTACCAATCTTTAAAAATGTGAATTAGTTGTTGAACAATTTTTTAAAAATATGTAAAAAATGCTCCTAAATTACAGTAAAAGTAAATTAAATCTAAGAAGATTACACTGATATATCTAAAAAGAAGACAACAAATCCTGCAGTGGAGCCAAGCCTTTACCTGTGTCAGTAAAGATTTGTCAAACACCTTATCTGAGTCAGTTGACCTTATTGTGAGATACTGCCCTTGAATCTGTTACTGAATTATTTAACATTTGGTTCTTTTGTTTTCAAAGCAAGAGTCAATGCAAGGTATGATTTTAAATCGGCGTGCTAAAGTGTGCATATTCTGTATATCTAATATGTCATTGTTGTCTCTTGTTTCTGTAATGCATTTGCATTACTATGAATCAATTTTATTATGCTTCTCTAGAGACTATCGCTGCCTGCACGCTGTGATATATTTGCACTGTTGTAGATATATATATATACATATATGTAATTATATTATATAAACCATGTCTTTTTCAGGTTGCTTGTTACCTTTGTAGTTTACGCTTTACCGGTACAGTGGACCTGAGTAAAAAAATGTGGGATGTGGGGCATTCTGATGATATATCACAGTAATAGAGAAACCTTTGTATATTTCTGTATACTTAATACCTGTAAGAAGAGATTTGTATGTGCATTATTTTCCAAACTAGGGCTTTGTTTTCTGAGACTAGAGAACATTTATGATAATGTAACAAACAAACAAACAAAAAAATCAAATAAAGTGTTATTATTTTCCGAGAGATGCCTTTGTGCCTGTTCTCTCCCGGAGGGAAGTGCCAGGTGTGTCGGTAGTGATAACATTTCACTGCCCCTTGATTCTGACAGTTAAAATTCTTAAAAACATAAAGTGTGGTCACATTGGGGGTTGAAACTCAATGATCTTAAATGTCCCTTCTAACCCAAACAGAGGTGCTTTTCTGAGAAACCCTACACAATTTAAGGACTTCCTGAAGCAGTGCAATTGATAAGCTTTGTATTTTCATCCATCTTTGATGGATTTTTCTTCCACAGACTAATCTGCTGTTCATCTTGTCCGTGCTACCTGTAAGTGTCAACAGATGTTCCCCGTGCTCTTGCATTACAGGAGGCAACAAAGGATCATTCCCTGTTTACCTTCTGGAATGTATGAATTTCTTTCTCCCTTCCTCCCTGCTGAAGAGAAACCACATTTTATTTTGCCAGTCACACCTTTCCATTCCCTGTTTTACCAAACACCGTTCAGCCACACCTGTGCTGTGTTCTCCTGCAGCCTTCTGTGCGTTTCTGTCACCATGAGAGTCTTCAGCTGGTTTCAAAAGCCAGTATTTTTCCTGTCATGTTTCTCTTGAAGATCCATGTTGGCCAAGAAATGACCTGCTTGCTGTTTCTGCTGGGCTGCTGCTTCCTGGTGCACCAGCAGGGAAATTCTTGGGTAGAAAACTCGACCTGTGTAAGGCCTGAAGAACTGCAATGTCTGCAGGAGGCTCCAGTGTTGGTGTCCTGTGCTTTGCCATATATTTAGTTTGGCTGGGTGGCTTTTCATGCAGCTGTAAGGCTGTTTTGTAGCATTTGTATGTTGGACTTAAAGCCAAGCCTAGACAACATCATTTGTGCCATCCCTCCTGACCACCACAGCAACAAAATTACCTGCCTTGGTCACCACAGTTCAAGGATAACAGCCCTAACTTTTATAAGTTAGTTAAGTGTCCAGTCATGAAGAACATCAGCAGTGATGCTTAAAGGATGAATTGACCTAAGGATGCAATAGGATTGCATATCCAAGACATTTTTCTAATTATAACAGAGATCATACTTTATGTTACATTTTATAGGCCTGCAAATAAGACTGGGTCGGAGAATTATGGTCCCAAGAATGAAATGCCTCCCTGTGCCAACTATTATCCGTAGATCAGGAAGGGAAAGGGAGGAACAGTAGTCCTTCATAGCCTGAGTGCCAACATAAATTACTTTTAAGTATTTTATATTGCAGTCAGTGCTATGAAATAAGCCAACCATAAACTTCTCATTAGCAACGCTGCAAAAATTAATATACCTCACATGCAATTACCATCCACTGTGTACTCCAAGTAGATTCATAAAATAAAGAGCGTTTGGAAATAAAGGAAATTTTATGCTGCGCTTTCTAATAGCTATCCGTGTAAAACCTGCTTTGGAATGCAGGTTGAAAGGCATAGGAAGCCAGGGAAGGGGCTACAGTAAGAAGGGTGGCCTTGTTCAGCGTGGGAGGGCACAGGGATCTGAGCAGTGCCCAGGTGAGCAACGAGCAGCTGCTGTGCTGTCAGTTGTCAGCACTGGCATCTTCCCTTGGGAGAGCCTTAATGAAGGGCTTGGTGGGAAAGTGTGTGTTGCCAGCTCTATTTAGGGCAGAAAAGCTGTCAAGGGCTGGATTAGTCAAATTGACACTAATTGCATCAATTTCTGTTATTTAGTGTATTTGGAATTCCATAGCCTCATTTGGTTTCTTTTATGTTTTTCTGTGCCTTGAAGGTTTTTTCAAGATCTGTGGATTTTGTTATGCACTGTTAGCTTTGTGTGATGGCATTGATGGATTCCTGATGTTCCAGTTTTGTGCCTGTGCCCTCACACACATGGGAAGGATGAGAAGGAAGTCAATACTTGATCTTTTCCACAGATGGAAAGTATTATCAAAGCATGAAGCTGATCCATTGTCAGCCTCTGATTGCAAAACACCCCATGGAGTTGCACTGTTTCCCCCTAATTCTTTCCAGCACAATTATTCTCTTACTCCACTGCCCATTCTGCTCTGCTGGGCAGGTGGAATAAAGCTCCACCTGTTCCTAGAACCTTCTTGCTCATCCCCATGGCGTCTGTAGAGTCAAATATGAAGAAGATTTCATGGCTTCATCAAGAGTCTTAAAGGTGCTTTTTGTCTTTCTCCTGCGTAAGAATCGGGCAGGAACCCCAAAGTACTTAGAGAAGAAACAAAAGTGACACCAAGGTTTTTGATTTTGCTTCTTCTGTTTGTCAAAACTAATATTCTGTGTCTTGGTGAAGCGTCCCTTTGATGGGGTGCAACACCAAGTCTGAAAAAGGGGAAAAAGCAGGGGAAATCCTAATTTGTAGCAGGAAGGAGCTGGATTTTACTTAACAAATTTACCTCTCAAGAAGCTTTCTGGAACATCATCGACCAAAGCCACTGAACTGATGAAAACTGCTTTTAAACAATCATCAGTCCACTCCAGTAGTGAGTCATACCTAAAAAATTTACATGGGCTTTGAACCTGAAGAATTTCCTAGAGTTTCTGCAACAAGCTCAACAAAAAAAGGTGTTAGGCTCAGCTGCAGTGAAACACTTTGATTCAAAACTTCCAAAGTTTCATTTCAGTTGTGGTATTTTAGTATTAAATCCCTTGAAATTTCTGTTTACCAGAACAACATTTTATTGTGTTTGGAGATGGAAGCATGTGTGGAAGGAAGCCCAGGAGTCCCAATTCTGAGACAGATGGGACCAGGACCCTGCAAGAGCCTGTCTTTGTCTAGTGTCTTCTCCAGGGGGGGATTTCTGGGTGCCCCAAAGGCTGGTCACAAAGCACAGGAAGTCATTACAGCTAGATGAATAGATACACTGGTCTCCAGCAGAAAAGTACTTTGTTTTCTTACCCTGCCCACCTCCAGTAAATGGAAATTTTATGAAATAAATTTTTTTTTAATAAAAAAATGAAAATTTTACCATTCACTGGCAGGAGGAGGAGCACCCTAAGACAGCAGACACTGGAATAAACCACTGTCCTCTTTTGCATCCCCTGTGAGTGCTACTGAGCTGGTCCTAGCGCTTGAATGCATTCTGCTTTGCAGCACACCTTTTACAGCAAAGTCTGGCTGGCTGGCTGTTGTCTTCTAGCACTGAGGACACATTTGTAGTCCTGTTGTGTACCTGGTGGGGTGTACTGGGACAGGGACCATCCCTGCTGTCTAAAGTACTCAGGCAGTCACTGTTTTGTATACCAACACTGGCAGCTTTCACATGCTTTAGAAGGCAGCTCAGATGGGGAAAAGCCTGTAGAATAATAATAGACTGTTCTGCCCAAGGAGGACTTTTGTTTCTGGCACGTTTGTTCTTGGGGAAACTCACCTGAGAGCTTCTGAAACTCTCATCTGAACTTTGCTCTTAAGGAAGGTTTTGCAGCCTGCACCTCAGAGCAGTGATTTTTCCCTTTTGGACTCAGTCTCGCAGTGAGGGCAATCTGCTGGAAACTGAATCTGCATCTTGAGGTCATCATTCTGCCTGGGATGTCCTGACTGACGTCCTGACTGACATCCTGACACAGGAGTCAGGTTTGGCTCTTTTGTTTTACCTTCTGCTTTTCTTGGTTGTGTTTTCAAGTTTTAGTAAAACCAGTAACTTGCTAGAGACCTGTGGCAGCACCATGTGATTTAGCTGCTCTCAACAGAGGAAGATTTCAGTTTCCATATTCTTTTTCACTTCAGTTTAGCACCTTGTCTGAAACCTTCCTTCTGAACGCGAGCTTTGCCAGAGGAGTGTGTGATACTTGCTGTAGCAGGATGCACACCCTTCCCAGAGACATTTGGGACCGGGATGTGAACTAAGTGGGCACATTAAAAACCACGTTTTTGGAGGTGTTTGCAGTTATATCCCTTTTTCACATGGCTACAGGTTTGCTCTTTGTTGCTAGCACCCATCTGCTCTGAGCTCCTTGTCTGTCCTAGTTTTCTGCCCTGTTATTTCTCCATATCAGCCAAATACAGCTTTCCTCCACCGCTTCAAAATGAATGATTTCTTAGACCTTTCCCTTGGCTACAATTGCTTTAAAGACCAGTAGAATATCTTCACTCACTGAAGAACCACAGGCAATCAACCTGCAATGTCAAACACGTTCTGTTCAGCCTTTATTAGAAGCTGAAGCATTGGTTGCAGTCAGCTGCCATGGTTGCAGTTTAGGACTATTGGACATTTGTGATTTTAAACGTCATTCACTGCCTAATGGCCTCATCAGCACAAAGCCTTTGTGTCACAAATTGACATAAATGAGTTCCTGTTACAGTAGCACCTTTGCTGACAGACATCACATCCTGACCTACTTTTTTTCCTCTCCAGAAAAATATTCAGAACTTTGTTTACCTATTCAGCCCTCACTGTGCAGTGATGTGGGCGTGCAGACAGAGTTGCAGATACAAAAGGTTAAGTCTTCATTTGAGCTTCTAATATTTGCTTGTTAAAACTGGTTCATATTTGTGACAATCCTGCATTTTGGTAGAAGAGAAACCTCATTATGTGCTTATCCATCACCTCTCCCTAGACAACCCTTTGGGTCACTGTTGGACAGAGGGCTCTGAGGGCCTCACTCAGGACTGCTGTTCTTAGGGTCACAAGGTGATTGGCTTTAGTCACCAGTGAATTTTAATCCTGGACAAAGTCTGGGTCAGTAGATACTGGAATTTTCCTCAAAAAATCCAATAACAACACTATTGCTCCTCTCAGGCTACTATTCATACAAAAAGAAAGTTTCATGGCTATCTGCTGGAAAACAGAAGCTCATTAGGCAGCAGAAGTTCTGGGAGCAGACCGTGTTTCTGATAAGCTCAAGGGGAGTTTAACTACCCAGGTGCCACTAATCAAGGCCAAGGCCTAACGAGCATTCCTGGGATCATAGGCCAGCCTGAGGAATGAGGGATGCACTCCCACAAGGTGTCTTTTTCTTTCTGAGGGCTGTGAATGGGGCCCAGGGACACTGATTCAGCTAAGGGGAGCCCTCAGAGTGACCCTGAAGGGGAGGAGGAGAGGAAGGTCCCTCCTTCTGTAGCCACATCTCTGCAGGTCCTGCACACTCCTCTTCAATGTGCATTCCTGTTTTGGGATCTCCCCTTGCTCTGCCTTGGCTCTGCCTCTCATCTTCTCCCAACAAGACTCCTGTGAAGGCCCTGTTACCTGGTGAAGGCACCTAGTTGTGGCACCAGGTTTTGCAGTGCAGTATCACCATGAGGACACTGTGCTTGGGCCTTCTGAATTCAGCTGGGCTACAGCACCAAACCTTCCCTGGCAAACACCTCCAAAGACCTTCAGTAGACTGGCCAGTTTATTGCTCATATTACAACCAATATCCTATCATAAAATCTATGTTACTACCCAATCACGTTATAACCAATTCAAATCATATTATTGAGCCTTTGAAAGTGCTTTATGAATGACTAATTTTTACCTGTTTGGATAAACATACTCATCACAATAGTGTACTGGGATAACTCTCTAAGGAGGCATGTTAAGGGGAAAGCTTTTTACAATTGGAGTGGTAAAACACTGCAACAAGTTGCCCAGGGAAGTGGTAGATGCCTCACCTCTGGAAAAGTTCAAGGGCAGGTTAGATGGGGGGGCTCTGAACAACCTGGTCTAGTGGAAGGTGTCCCTGCCCATTGCAGGAGGTTTGGACTAGATGACCTTTAAAGGTCCCTCCAAATCTATGATTCTATGTGTCTCCACCCTTTTTTCCATGCTTGCAGCACAACTCTGTACAACTGTTCTTCCCTGTTAAGCCCTGAGCACACCTTGCTGCCATACCCATCTTGTTCCCCAACAGATTTCTTAGAGGTTCAACAGTGCCTTTAAAGTCTCTTTGCTGGGCTCTCTGGGTTTTTCATGTTACCAGATGGGTTCCTGCCTTCCTGAGCTGCTCCATGCCCCGCTGGCAGCAGCACTGAGGGTCTGGCAGCACCAGAGTGATGCACAGAGCAGGAGGTGTCTGAGTCAGACCAGTCAGATCAGCTAACAAAGGCACCCTTCCCTATGTCTCAGAGGGGAAAAAAAAAAAAACAATCCCACAGCTATATCTGTATAATGGGAAAAGCTGAATATTCTCAGTGTTCAGAAGGACGAGTGGCCTGTGTGAAGCCATGGATCAGCTAACAAATTCAAGCAGTCACTTGCAAGTGTGAAGTGTAACTAACACAAAAAGCTGAGTGCCATGTTCCTTTCAGAAGTGTTACTGACTGCTCTGCCATCAACAGGTTGCTGAGGTGCCAAATTTTTCCTGGGAAACAGAGAAATACACAGCTTCAAGATAAAGATAGCATAAACCCCCACAAATTGTGTCTTAGTTATTTTATTACAGTGAAAACCTGTGCAGTACTAACCTACTGAGAGACTAAAAGCTACCAGTAACTTTACATCCAAAAGGAGTCAATCCCAGGTAAAAACAGTCTAGAAATCACGGCTGTTGTAAAATACAAAGTCTGAGCTGGGACCTCTGTCTCTTGTTCCAGTGAAGTAGATCCAAAGTTTGGAAAGTTCTTGATGGAAGTTTCTCCTTTAGCAAGCTGGAGAGTTGAAGAGAATAAGCAGATTAAGTGACACGTTTTCTCCGTAAATTGCACAAGATGCTGGGAACTGTTTTGCCTAGATGCAGGACATCTAAAAGGCAACTTTTTAGCAGTTTCCCCCAACCCCCATCTGTACATGTTGTCCCTAACTGTGCCTCAGATCAGTAAAACCATATGATGGTGAATTGTACCCAGTACAAAACACACTGTGGCTGAGGCTATTGGTTATCTACATTAGATAATGCTGAAAGGTTCAATTCTAATTAAAAAAAAAAAAAGTCAGTAGAGGATCAGAAATTACTGTAAGTTTCATTCCACATTTCCAAAGCACAGCCTTTTATCTCCCATGATGATGAAGCAGATGTGAGTTGGGCAGCTGCACCTCTACCAGGGCATTAGCTGAGAGCTTGACTTCACGCCTAAGCCCACACTACCTGTGCAGCCACATTGCCTAAAAGTCCCTGGTTCAGATGTATTGGCACCACCCCCCTCTCTGTGCAAGAAGCTGCTTTTTTAGGGTTTAGCCACCTTGTTCTGCTCACACCCAGAGCAAGGAATCTCTGGCTGGCACAGCACACCAAGCCTGGGCAGAGCACAGGCCCTGCCAGGAGCTGTGGGGCCTCCACAGGGACACAGGGGACGATGTCTCATGCGGGTCACTCATTACCTTCCTCCGTGACACGGTGGTAGAAGCACCAGGGGACCCCAGCAGGACGTGCCCTGAAGCAGCAGCCCTTCTTTGTGCACTCCTTGGCCGTAATGCCGGGGTGGCCGCAGTTTATCCTGGCGTAAGGATCGCTGGGACACACTTTCTTAACTGTGTGAAGCGAAAAAAAACAAAGGAAGGAAGGAGAACGTGTCACTTCATGCTCCGTTTACCTGGTGATGTAGTTCACAAATAAAAGGCAGGACACAAAGGTGAGGTCCCTGAGCAGATGTGACAGCCATGATGAACAGTTTCACCCAAATCCTCACCACGTCTGTTAGGCAAAGCTAAATACCAAAGGGTGATGAATTGCTGCTGTGACTCGGGGACCAGAAGAAGCAAAATTCACCCCTAGAAGTGTCATGCAGCAACTCATCTTTATCTTTCCTATATCCAGCAATGGGGTGAAAAGCCATGTGTCTCCCATAATGGTAACACATCCACTGGCTTCAGGCCAGGGTATATCCATGACCTGACCCAGTCTTAACCCCAGAGCAGCCTGGCTAATGCAGGGACGGGACAACCCGGCTTCCTCTGCATGCCAGTTGAGTTACACAAAGGAGGTGGGTCATTTAGGGGGAAATCACAGCTCTTCCAGCCAATTAGAAGTAAAATCACAAGTAAAGAGGTTATACCACCCAGCTGGAATACTCTATTCTTCTCTCTCAAAGCAGTTCTGCTCAGAAAAGCAATTCTATGAAATGGCACCATAAGGTGCTGCCGTTCATCCTTCAAGATTTACAAGAAATGCAAACAGTGTTCAAAAGCAAAAACATTTTTTTCCCTCCAGCAATTCTGATCCCTGTTGACCAATCTTGATTTATATCAAGTTCTTCTGCTGGGTAACGTTGCCTTTGCACCCTCATTTCACCTGTGCAACTGCTGAGACTGCCCTGAAGTTCTCCTAGGAAGGAGTCAGCCCAGCAAATGTAGCTTACACTCAGTTAATTAACACAGTTAATTACACTCAGTTATCTAACACGGTTCTGTAAAATATACACCCAATCCTTGAAAGAGTGGGAGGGCAGCTTTTCCCCTTCCTGAGAAAATAATGGCAACAAATGGAAACAGGACTTCAGAAGCTTTAGAAGGAAGAAACTAATGGAGAAAAGGATTTCCCTGGGATATTTTGGAGATTTCATTGAGTGAAGACTGGGAACAAAAATGGCAGAGAAAAAGGGACAACCAAGTGCAACTATGCTGGGAAACATGAAGGAGAAGAAGGAAGTAGCAATTAGCAAAACAGGCTGGAGAAAAGAGCAAAAACATAGCAGTTAGAGGATGCCTGTGGCCTTTTGTACAGGTATCCAAGAAATCCTCCTCAGCCACATAGCAAAACCACTGAAATAAGTGCTGAGGATCCCTTGCTCTACCAGTGAACAAGATCACAAATGACAGTGAAATGTTTTAAATAATCAGCACGGGTTGCTTGAGAACCAGAAGCCTGAAGGAAGAGGGAATACATTGTGTGAAGAGGATGAGGCAGAAGTTTGGTGGGTAAGTAAGGCTTGACTTCGCATTTTACTACCACTGGTCTTCTAACAGAGGTTTGCTCCCACTTTTCTCACCTCAGAAGAAAAGCAGAACTGGCCCCTGGTTGTACACATTTCTAGATAATCAAACACGAGGTAAATCAGTGTTTCTGGCAGAGAAATTACCTTTCTTCTGTTTAGGAGTGAAGCACCAGGGAACGTTGGGGTTCGAAGAGTTGAAGCAGCACCCCATTTTCTTGCACTCTGCTGCTGAGATTCCTGGGTAGCCACAGTTTTTCCTCTCCTTTGGGAGCATTTTACACTGGCATTTTGCTGTTCAGGATAGAAGGAGCAAGTTACTGGGCATCAGTTTGCACACTTTTTTGTGGAGGTGCAGTTATCAGATGACCATTGGGAACAATGCTCTTTTCCTAAACTCTGTCCATCTGTGCAACTGTACATTTTCTGTTCCCTGCCAAGACCAGAGCCTGTGTGGCTTAAAAGCTGCTTTTAAACTCTCACTGATTTTGGCAAGGGCTGTACTGCACCCTTTGAGAGTCTGTGGTCCCACTTGCAGCCAAACCAGCCCAGTTTGTGGACTTTGAATTGACCACATCAAATGGGAAAACCCAAGAACTCTAAATATTGTGCTCATAAATGTTGCTGATTTGCCCAGGTCTTGTGAAGAGAAAAAGAGTTAAGGGTCCAGTGGATATTCAAACAGGTGTAAAGATAAAAAATCTTTGCGTTCTGGTCAGGTGACTATAAAAATGTGTTATTCTGTGCAAATAGTTATGACTGTACTTTTAACATTTTAAGTCTGCTGCACAGTCATCCACAATCAAGAAATTCTGGAGCTGTCCCTAGGTGTCATTGAGTTGCTTTTCACTTCTGAAGCTGTCTAAATTACTTGTTTCTTAATTAGGAGGCATATAGACTCCTTTGAAATCGTATTCACATAGCAAAGCAGCAAAAAATAATTGCCAGAAGACTATTTAGGCAAAACCAGCTCCTGTTCCAGCCGTGGTCCTGTTCTAGAGAGCTCCTGGGCTTGTCTGTCCTCCTGCCTTTGCAGCAGGTTCCTGGTTATTCCACCAACACAGCAGTGCACCCGCAGTCTTTAACATTTTGCCATAGATTTTTCCTGAAAAAATTAAAAAGTCGAGTCCAGCTTTGGTGATGTCTCACTAGAAGAAGCTGTTTGCTGTCTGATACATTAATAAAGACAGGCTCCGCCTGCAGCTGGTAGGACCAGGCCCCCCCATACATACCTGGAAGGCAACAGTAGGTGAATGTACTTACTTGGTGCATTTCCCTCTGCCAAGGTGCTGAGGGCTATGACGAGGGTGGCAGAGAGAACACAGACCACCTTGAGATCCATTGCTCTTGGAAGGTGGGTAGAGCAGAGAGGTGCTGCCTTCCCTGGAAGCAGCTGGTTTTATACACTCCCCATGTTTGCCCAGCGAGGTCTGATAACATTGTTCCATCTGATGCTTCACCCAGAGGCTGGGTTTTCTTTTGTTTAGTTAGGAAATGTTGCCATGAATATTATGATATCCCTGAGATAAATTTCTGGGCTCCCCTGAGCTATTGATCACGAATCTATTACGTACCTATAGATAGATACATATCTATTACGTGATCCCATGATCTATTAAGTGGATGCTGCTGGTTGCCTCTGGGTGCCAGAGGCTCTGGCTTTGAGCTCTGGGTGCTCTGGGTGCCAGGTGATTTCATGGCCATCAGAGTATTTCAGACCTCTGGGCAGCTTTAAATGGCACTACTGAAAAATGTGTGCCTACATTTCCTATCCAAGTGTATCTTTTCTGCCTGAGTTTTTCCTTGGCCTTAGGGTTTTGGTTATGCTTACTCTGAGGCAGGTAAGGCAGGAGGGCTGGAGGTGTGACACCTCCAAGCTTCAGGAGACCACAGGGCAAACCGTGCACCTGAAGAAATGCATAAACGCAGAAGGTGGAAGGTGTGACTGTGAGATACTGAGCTTAGGCCACTGTTGGTTTCCACACAGGGGGATATAGGAAAAGAAGGTAAGATCAAGGGGAAAAAAATCCTCAGAAGTCCAAGAAGATCAACAGCACAGAGACTCGAGAGAAGAAAGGAGAGGGCGTGTATGATCTCAGCCTGCTCCACAGGCACTGTGCTCATCCAGGGGTCAGACCTGAGTGTCCCAGCCAGTATTTCGGAATTGCTGACCTGCACAAGGTCCTGTCTTGGGGGGCCATGGCAGGGGCTGCTCCCATCCCCTCTGCCCGATCCCCAAAGCAGTGAATTTCTTCACAACTCACCCAACACCACCAGCCAAACCCAAACTTCTGAAGCACCACGTTCGATCTATTAATTTCCCAGTTGTTTTTCTCCTGGTTTCAAGGGTAGCCTCCCTGCTTGGGGCAACAGGCCTCAAGACTTGGGTTGCCCAAGGCTTTAATCTCATTTTTGGACATTTTTCTACCATTTACTGTAACATTTCCTAACTCCTAGCTACTTCTCAATCTTAAACACAAACAGAACAGTGCCAGGGAGGGGGAGACAAGCAGTGGGATGGTGGGACCGCCTCTTAACCACCTCCCACAGGAAGCACCTGCAGAGGAAGCAGGGCTGGCTGTGGTTCCTTCAGTGCTCTGCAGCATCACTTTTCCCATGGGAAAACCACCAGGTAACTCTTCCTGTTCCTCACCAAAAAAGGAGACTCAATGCATTTTTTTTTTTAATCCTTGACAGAATTGTGTCTTCACGCCTTTGATTATTGTATATGAGCTTGTTTTGTGCCTCTTTCCTTGACAAAGTTCAAAGTGAGAACTTTCTACTTCTACGGTTGTGTTTTGGAGGTAATTTATTTATTGAAAAGTATTTTCAACAAAGTGGGAGGGGTTTTGGTCTAAAGGGAAAACAAATAATAGAGCTCATTTTTCTGATCATTAATTTATTTAATACTTCATGGGGTTTATTTATATCCCTCTCTGTTTAAGATATGGATGGCACTTCTCATTGACAGTCACAATTCATAAACCAGACATTTTGTGCGTCCTTCATTTCACAAGAGACCAAGGTGCAAGCAGAGAAGGACCGTGTTCCATCGCTCATCAGTCCACATCACACTTTTTACCTTCATCACTTAGAGAAAACGTCAGAGGTAAAGCTTAAAAATCCAGTTTTTCCTTATGTGCAACATCAACATTGATCCCAAAGGCCCACCACCATGATGGCTGGTCCAGAAAAGTCATGAGTAATTTTTCCATCAGCTTTCTTCTCATGGTGCAAGGAGTGAGTTTGGCTGAAATGCTGCCCCTGCACGAGAGGAAAGCTGTCATCCCGAGGGGGACAACGTGCTGCTTTTGGACTTTCATGGAATTCTCAATAGGTTATCGGCCCATCGTGTGAGTCAGGTGAAACTGCAGATAACATTAGTCCCTCCTGCTTCTTTCTGGACATTAATTAAGTCCTTATCTGCTGGCTGTCACCTCCTGGGCCTGATCCCAACCACAGGCACAAAGGCAAATCTACCCCTGAGCTTTTGCTGCGGAAAGAGCGTTTGATTGGCATCTTAAAGCAAACACAGCGAAAGAAATAAGCTGCTTGCTTTCTGCCAGGGGATTACTTTAAGATCTTTAATATGTTTATATAGCAAAGCCTTGAAAATTATCTGGGGTTTCCCTGGAAATATGTTTCCTTCAGTGAGGCCAGCACCTACCTAAACTTTTTGGTAACTCAGTGTAGGGTGCCCAGGCTTTGCAAGTGCCCATGGCCAGAAAAGGTTTGGAGGGCTCCTTCCTCCTCTCCAGTCTCCATGTCCTCCCTCACCACCCTCCTCTGGTCCCACAGGGCTCTTACTGTGGTGCTCTCTTTTCCTTACCAGCAAGGACATGGAGAAATCACCATGGCTGGTAAGGATCTTGCTGCAGATCAGTAACAGCCTCCAACTCTTTATTCTGCTAATCCAGAACTTTTCAAGGATGTTGGTATTTTTTTCGTCTCTTTTCACTTATAAAAAATCCAGCAAAAACCAGTACAATTTAGATTTTTCATCCTAAAGGGAGTGTTTTGTCCTAAAGGGAATTTCATTCAGTGGTAACTGTGCTGACCTGAGAGATCTGTCATTGGGTGAACATCACTGCGTGTGACCCCACAAAATACACCCCAAGTTTTGAGTGCTCCCTGAAATAAATCATCATGAAAGAGGAAAAAAAAATGGAGGCAAAGGAGAGGTGTGTCTTCACTTTGCTCCTGCCAGCTGTGGAAAGGGCTCTCAGCAGAAGGAGGGACTCAGGAGCAGGGATGGTCTGAAAAAACCACTTAGGTGAAGCTCATCACATGCCACTCACTCACTGCAAGACTGGGTTTTATGAACGTGTTTCTAGAACCCACAGCAGTGAGTAGCACTCTCCTCCCTTATCATTAGGCTGCCTGCCTTGTTTCACAGTGGCCCTGCTACGTCTCCCTTCCTCCACCCTTTTTGGAGGTGCACAGGGGGTGGTGTGGGGAACAGGCAGTGCAGGTGCTGCTCTCATGGTATGGCCTGTAGGACCAGGCTGTATTTTTCAGGGTATACTTCCCATGGGGCACATAGGACCATGTTGTGGGGCTGCCCACGAGGAGTTATGTGAGCAGTTTGTGTAGCACCAGCACAAACCATCTATGTGTGGGTATCACACATCCAAGACACACTGCACCTTTTACTGCATAGATGATATCCTGCATCATTTGATGGGCTGCAGCAAAAGCAGTGTGTCCAGCAGGTCAAGGGAGGTGATTCTGCCCCTCTGCTCTGCTATGGTGTGACCCCACCTGCAGTGCTGCCTCCAGCTCTCAGCATAAGAAGGACATGGACCTGTTGGGGCAAGTCCAGGTGAGGCCACGAGGATGATCAGAGGGATGGAGGACCTCCGCTGTGAAGACAGACTGAGAGAGTTGGGGTTGCTCAGTCTGGAGGAGAGAAGGCTTCAGGGAGACCTTAGAGCCCCTTCCAGCACCTAAAGGGGCTCCAAGAATGATGGAGAGGGACATATAGAGGGACTAAATGCCCTTACAAGGTCATTTAGTGACAGGACAAGGGAGAATGGGTTCAAAATGAAAGAGAGTAAATTTAGATTAGATATTAGGAAGAAATTCTTGCCTGTGCAGGTGGCGAGGCGCTGGCACAAGTTTCCCAGAGAAGTTGTGGATGCCCCACCCCTGGAAGTGTTCAAGGCCAGGTTGAACGGGGCTCTGAGCAACCTGGTCTAGTGAAAGGTGACCCTGCCCATGGCAGGGGGATTGGAACTGGATGATCTTTAAGGTCCCTTCCAACCCAAACCTTTCTGTTGCAGATCCATGCTTGGGAGCAGTGAGCCTACCCTGTCATTCCTGGTGTAAATGAGGGAGAGGGCTGTTAACCTCCCACACATTTTGACTAAATGAGTTACCCACAAAAGCCCTCAAACCAGGATGATATCTGTCTGTCTACCAAATAACACTGTGGGTTCAAAAAACAAACAGAGAAAACACTACATTTTAATTCTGGGAACAAACAGTTCAAAGTAACCACTGAGATCCTCCTATTTTAAAATGCAGGTGTCAAAACCAACTTTAACCTGATCTGTTCAAACTCCTTCGGGGGAATTTTGTAAAAGAATATGTCATTTCTACAAACCAGAGGGGGTTTGTGGCATTTCTATGGCCAACATCCTTGAACATGGTAAAATGGAAAAGATAATTACCTAAGGTTATCCAAATACACAACTCAGAGCTGAGTCAGATATGAAAGCCTGAATTTCAGCGCCCAACACATTGCAAAAAGGTTTGGTTGTGGCTGCAAAGCTCAGTGCCAGTTTAGAAATACAGATCTGAGCCTGTAATTTTCCCTAATGCTTCTGGGACCTCCAAGCAGCCCCTGATATTGGCATTGCCAGCATTCGTCCTTTTTTTGTCAGGACAAAGCAACACCAGAAAATGCTTATTTTTCCTGAGATGAGATGTAGACCAGCCTGTGGAGACAAGGACACACTGACTGTGACCAGCCAAGAAGGGAAATACGTATTTTGTTTCTTTTCTAGACCCCCTCAGTTTTGCAGTGACCCAGAGAGAAACTCCTGAGAAATGCAGACAATCTGATTCAAGATGTGGCCATTGCAAGGTCTCTTTACGATAGTGGTTGTGATGCATTCCAGTTTGCCATGCCCCAGGCAATAAGAAAGTCCAGATCCTGACTTATTACCTTCTAAAAAGGGAAACACACACCAAGAAGACTTATTAAATGGAACTCAGAGGAAGAGTAAAATGGGTGAAATGTTCACAAACAGCAGGAAGCTGTTGAAAGACACAATATGAAAGATTAAGTAAATATTTACCACCGAACAAAAACTATGAAGAGAGTGTCCTCAGGCACAC